CCAATAATAATAATAATAGATTGGCGCTTACACATATGTTAGTGTTTGGCCGAGCTTCTCCTCCGATTTGTGGCGTGCGCCTTGATGTTATCACACAAAGCGGAGGGACCTACAGTTTTACGCCGACTCCGAACGGCGATTGTATTTTTATGAGAAGCTGTTTTTCATGGCAGAAATACACTCGGAGGTTTGCCATTGCCTGCCGAGGGACGACCGCTGTTAAGAAAAAACCTTTTTTCTATATTTTTGCGATGTTGCTTTGACCAGGGTTTGAACCCAGGCATTGTGGAGTGGAAGCGCGCACTGCTTACCACTACACCACAGCGGCCGACCAATACAGATGTGAATATAAAACAAATTAAAGTGAATGGACTACTGACAAATTCTTTTGTAGATCCGGGAAGTAGTCGCACTCTTGTGAAAGAAAGTTTCGCAAGAAGACTGGGCACAACTACTCCGTGCTCAGTCACATTAAATGGGTTTGGTGGAGGTAAATTCGTATGTTACGAGAAAATTAACGTAATAATTGGAATAGACCGTGAGAAAATTGAGAGTGACGTTTTGATCGTAAAAGATAATTTGTTAAGTGAAAACATTTTGCTAGGAACTGATAGTTTGTGCAGAAACGGAAGCCGACTAGTAATAGAAAATAGACGCTGTCGTATTGAAAATGTTTTGAATATCCGTGAGTGTACAACTCTAGCTAACGACGATTTCCGCAAACTCGAACAATTACTCAGCTCGTATCGTGAGGTGTTCGCTGAAAAGGTTTCTGAACTCGGTCGGTGTAAAACTATGAAAATGAAAATTGAACTAAATTCCCAAATCCCAGTCAATATGAAACCATATCGTCTGCCTTTCTCCAAACGACCGATCGTGGCAGATATAATAAATGACTTACTCGAAAACGAAATTATAAGACCCTCTGAGTCTTCATATGCGTCACCCATTGTCATCGTTGAAAAGCAAAATGGTGAGCATCGACTTTGCGTAGACTATAGATGTCTAAATAAAATAACGAAGAAAACGTCATATCCGATGCCAGTTATGGATGAGCATTTCGCCCAGCTAGCAGGTAATAAATATTTTTCAATATTAGACCTACGAATGGGGTATTACCAAATAGAACTCGACGAACAGTCAAAGCAGTTCACGGCATTTGTCACCAACGAAGGGCATTACGAATTTAATAGAATGCCTTTTGGTTTGGTCAACGCTCCGGCCGTGTTCCAAACAGTTATGAATAGATTAGTCGCTAAAATGAAACCGGGAGAAGTTTTGGCATATTTAGATGATGTCATCCTACCAAGCCGCACAATTGAAGAAGGTCTACAGCGCCTCGAGAAATTTTTAGTTATTTTGAAGGAAAGTGGGTTGACATTGCGAATCGACAAGTGTAAATTTTTGGAGACCAAAATTGAATATCTCGGTCACGTCATAACCGAGAACGGTATAACGCCTGGAAATCGCAAGGTATCAGCAATCCAAAATTTTCAAGCACCGACGAATGTCACAGAATTAAGACGATTCTTGGGTCTCACAGCTTTCTTTAGGAAATTTGTTCCTGAGTACTCATTAATAACAAAGCCATTAACAGTACTTTTACGTAAATCCGAACAAAATTCATTTTGTAGGACTGAGCCGCAGCAGACAGCGTTCGAACGAATTATCGAACATTTGACAACCTCTCCAGTGTTGGCACTCTACGACCAAACCGCGCAGCATGAGGTTCACACAGATGCCAGCAGCATAGGCCTCGCAGGCGTACTGATGCAGTCACACGATAGTAAGACTTGGCGACCAACAATGTACTACAGTCGTCACTGTTCAGACACCGAAAGCCGTTATCACTCGTACGAGCTGGAAGCGCTTGCCGTCGTTGAAGTACTTGAACGATTCCGCATCTATTTACTTGGTAAGAAGTTCCGCCTTGTGACCGATTGTTCAGCAGTTGCCAAAGTACGCGATAACAAAGAACTCAAGCCTAAAATTTCTCGATGGTGGCTAAAGATATTGGAGTTCGATTTTGAAGCTGTACATCGTCCCGGTAGCAGACTTGCACACGTAGATGCTATGAGTAGAGCACCTGACCAACCCGCTGAAAATGTTGAACCAGCCGGTTCAATCTTCGAAATCACGTACGACGTCAACGATTGGCTCTATACAATGCAAATCCAAGACGCAAAGCTTCGTGAAATTATCAGCGTACTACAAGGCCAACAAAAATCACCACGAGAACCAGAGATTAAGAAGTATTTCCGCATTCAGAATCATCGCCTTTATCGACAAGAAGAAGATGGACTGAAATTTGTTGTCCCTAATTCCGTACGATGGCGCATTGCCCAACTATGCCATGACAAAATGGGTCATCACGCATTAGAGAAGACCATTGCTCGCGTTCGAAAAACGTTTTGGTTCGCGCAGATGCGTAAATATATTAAAAATTATATCGCGGCGTGTATTGAATGCTGCTATCGCAAAGCACAATCCGGGAAAGTAGAAGGTACAATGCACTATGGTCCGGTAGAGCCGATACCTTTTCGCGTGATCCACATTGATCACCTCGGTCCGTTTATTCGTAGTAAGAAAGGTAATTGTTACGTATTAGCGATTTCAGACGCGTTTACTAAATATATTACTGCTAAACCAGTCCGAGATACGCGAACAACGCACGTTATAAATGCACTTAACAACATAACAAGCTATTTCGGATTGCCGGTTAAAGTAATCACTGATCGTGGAACCGCCTACACGTCCAAGGCATTTACATTATATTGCGAGCAGAACGGTATAAAACACATAAAAACTGCCGTACGTACTCCGCGCTCTAACGGGCAGGTCGAGCGCGCAAACCAAACCATTTTAAATTATTTGCGTACTTCCGTTGAGAATCCAAAAGATTGGGACTTAATATTACGCAATTTGCAGTTTAGCGTTAATTCACAAAAGAATAAAACGACCGGTTATAGTCCAAACGAGCTTATATTTAATTTTAATTTGCAAGATATCGTACATAATCAGTTAGTAGCCGCCGTGCACGACGACGTGGACGAAACCGCTGAGAAGATTCCGATAGACGAAAAACGTACTTTAGCCTCTGAAAATATCGAGCGAGCGCGACAAAAATGGAAGAAGCGATTTGATGAAAAACATTCACCTCCTAGAGTATATCGCGAAAATGATTTAATCGTCATCGAGAACGAAGCCGCCGCCACTGGTGAGTCGCGAAAATTAGAGCCGAAATATCGCGGTCTGTATCGAATCGCCAAAGTCTTGAACAAAGATCGGTATCTTATAGAGGACGTACCGGGTATGCCGATAAAGTCGCGTAATTTCTCTTCCGTTTTCGAGTCTAGCAAGATGAAACCCTGGTGTCGCAACTGTCCCGAACTCGATGATGACATATCAAGTTGTAACGATTCTGAAGACGACGAAATCGGGGTCGATTCCATATCAGGAAGGGCCGACTGTCAGCAAGCTGGTAACTCCGCAGATAATTGGCTATGCGAGGAAGGTGGCAACTAACGTTCGTGAGTAGAGAGTAGAAGCGTCGGTCGAGTGCAGAGGTCGTAAAAATCAATATAAATCGTGAAACTTTGTATCTTCAAACTAAATTCGAATAAATACCAAATTTTCAATTTAATTTTAAAAAGAGGTCTCCTGACATTTGTATGAACCTGTTGTACTAAAGAAGACTAACAGCCGCACTCAGAGTCGCTTAATGATTACTTAAGGTATCCCTCAGTAACGATTTGAAAAAATTCCCTCTCAGAGTCAGCTAATGTTTCATTAACGGCATTTAATGAACATTAAAGTTGAGTAAAGAAAAACCTTCACTTAACTTCTTAACGAGAGATTTTGACAATCTTTTGTTTATTATTTTATTATTTTCGTTTGAATTTGTGTTAGATTTTTTAAAATAGTGGAAAAATGTCCGATCTAGAAGACTTCATGGACTTTGCGGATTATGTAAGAAGGCACAGGGAAGTGGGATTGAGGCGCTATCTTCGAGATTATTCAACCTCAACTTTTGGATCTAATGAACGATAACATGTGACTATCCATTTCAATTACAGAAACTGGATGGAGATGTGATGAACATATGTCAACAGTCAGTTTCGCGAATAATTTTTCAAGTCTCTACTTCAATAGCGCGAAAAACCAAAGACCTCGTTAAATTTCCATCTACTGCAGAAGAATTTAATAGAGTAAAGTAGGGCCATATTTTGTATTCTGAATTTCGTTAATACATAATAAGTATTTTTACATACTATGTATAAAAATGCTTAATTATTGTTGCACATTTTTATTTGTAGGCAACAGTTTTATGAATTGGCTCATTTTCCTGGAGTAATTGCGTGCGTAGATTGCACATATATTAAAATAAGAAGCCCAGGAGGATTATCTGCTGAGGTATACAGAAATAGGAAAGGGTGGTTCTCTATCAATGTACAAGCAGTCACTGGTCCAAACTTGGAATTTTTTGATTTAGTAGTTCGTTGGCCTGGGAGTACGCACGATAGCTTTATATATAACAGCAGTTCGGTTAAGCAAAGATTCAATAGCGGGGAATTAAAAGGAATACTCTTAGGTGACAGTGGATATGCTGTCAGTAATTTGCTTTTAACTCCGTTTTTATCACCAAGCTCAACTCCACAAAAGGAGTACAATAAAAGCCACATTAAAACAAGAAACACTGTGGAAAGATGTTTTGGAGTTTGGAAGCGAAGATTCCCCTGCCTTCACGTTGGAATGGGTATTAAGCTGGAGACCGTTGTAGCTGTTATATGCGCATGTGCAGCATTGCATAACATTTCCATCTTAGTAGATGACTTGCTACCAGTCAGCTCTGATAACATCGAAACTTTTAATGTCGAAGCTTCACCAATCAATGAAAACTCCAACAGCAACGGTTTTATTGCGCGTCAATCTCTGGTAGACAGATTTTGTTCCTAAGATCTTTTGCTACAAATAAAAGTCTTTAGATGTTGAAATATTAACTATGTCTTTAATTTATTGAACGATTTTTTTTTGCCTCTTCAAAATCTATTTTAGCCTTTTGTAGTAATACTTGGTTTTTTTGCTCTTCCAACAAGGCTGCTCTTTTTTTTTATTTGCTCAACTTCCAACTGTAAAAGAAAATATGCATATACAAATATTTAGCTTTACCAATGCATTGTTATTATATACCTGTGTTTTGACTAATTCAAGCTTAAGCTTCTCTCTCTTCTCTAGGTACCTTACCCGTAATGCTGCCTCCCGCCGAACGTAGTCGCTTGGTCTGCGTACTTGCTCCTTTTCCACTTTTTGTTGGTGGCCAGTTTCATTACTGTGTACTATGTAGTTAAAAAGCAGCGAAAAGAATTTTAGTATATCGTAGATGACTTCTTTCGTATTTTATAGGTACAGTACCTGCAACATTTGGTTCACCTTCATAATTTATGCTTATGGCTTTGAAGTTTACGTCGGATTCCTCATTTGCTTCCGTGATCATATCTAAAAAATGTTGGTTAAAAAGTGATTTGCCTTATATCTTAAAGGACATACCTAAAAACTCAATGGAGCTAGATTGGCTATTTTCCATGTTTAGCAAAATTACCCCATCGCTGTCAAAGTTGTTGGAGATTTCGCAAATCATTGCGGGAGCAGCCTAATAATTAAATTTTATGACGACAAGACAGTATGAAGATAATAGTTAAGTCCCTAACAGCGCACTTATACGATATGAATGTATTTACATATCGATGGTCCTGTACAACAACGACACAATTCAAAATTCAAAAAAATATAAAAACTGTTACTACTGTTAAGTGACTCATGTATTTAATCCTTGTCGAATCCATGTCTCATCTTTTGTACTTACTTTAACAATCCTTACTGCTTACTTTAGTAAGGGATGGAAATGGATTAGACAAGGATTAGAGACAATAATCACTTAACAGTAGTAACAGTTTTTATTTTTCGAATTTTAATTTGTGTCGTTATTGCACAGGACCATCGATATGTAAACGTTTTTTTTTTGTATGTACTCGTAAGTAAAGTAGCATTTACATATATGTATATCGTTACTTTAATATAGAAAGGCTCTATTTCACATAATGCTCAAAACCAATCAATAGGTGAATTTAGGATTTTTAGCTAGTTACGATTTTTTTTTTGTATTTCAGCGACGATGAGAGATAGGGCCTTTCTATATTAAGATAACGATAAGCAAATAAATATCGTGTAAGAGCGCTGTAAGGATACATACCTCTTCCACCATGTCCACTATTGCTTCTACTTGCCGTGATGTTGATGGCACCGGTGGCCCACCGCCCGTTCGAAATAAATTACCCCTTTCTACTGCCCGAGCCTTTCGTGCGACTGCCTTCATATTTTCCCACGCCCTCCTTAATGTAACCGTCTCACGCTGAAATAAACAATATGGAAACACGAAATACTAAAGGTGGCCTCAAGCAGATGCGATAATACCGGTGCGATACGATATCGTATTTTTTGCGATAACGATAAAAAGCAAACGCTCTCAAACAGGTGAGATACGACACACTGCGGTGCTATACCGCAGTGGTTTGTATTGATCGCATATCGTAAAATTTTTTACCGCATCTGTTTGACGCTACCTTAAGGCGTATAATAAATTGAATAAATGCATTAGGTCGGGTATTTTTCCGACATCGTTCCTAGCACATTCGTATTCTACATTAAATACCAAAGAAAAAATTCCATTATAGCTCCAAATTTTGAGCCCCCCAAAATTTTAAAATAACCTATCTTCAATTAATGCTACGTTAAGACATAAGTAAGTATTAAAAATATGACCTTCATAACACTCCCGCTAATATTAAGTGTAGACATTAACTTAGTATTAATTAAAGATAGGTTATTTTAAAATTTTGGGGGGCTCAAAATTTGGAGCTAT